TTTCCATTTTCCCACGTTTCTTCAATAATGCCAGGACATTAGTTCAATGCACTTGTAGGGGAAACAGTGCCACCCGTTCGATCATCACTCTCATCCTTTCGTTACATAGGCCTGGTCCTGGAAGGTGTGCTGATCCCCTTCACAGTTATCATGGCTTAATTCTGGTAGTATTTTCTCAATGCCTGTACTTTCCCTGCAGTTTTATTATGTTGCTGCACCCTTATTAAAATTTCCAGGGTTTTTTTTTTTTTTTTTTTTTTTCCTTCTTTTCTGTCCTTAATGTGGATGCATGAAGTTTGACTGCAGTTTGACTGCAACAGAGCAGTCAAAGCTCTTCTGGAGCACCTTGCTAGCAGTGGAGAGCAAAACATTTTTACAGTTTTCTTTAAGTGGATTTTATCTGCGGTTTCTCTGACTCCTGCCTCAAAAAGGCATTGTACACTTTTGTTGAACTCTGTGGCTGGATATTTTTTTTTTTAGGAAAGACTTAAGGATATGCAGCAACTATTCCATGTTTTTCCCCCTCTTTCCTTTAATCAGATTGGTGTTTATTTTTAACTTGATACTAAGTGCTTAGTTAGTGTAGCTGCTAGCAGAAGACTTCACATTTCTTAATCGTAAACAAACAGTAAGTTATTACAAATCAAAAGATACTTTCCTTCCAGACAGAGAGAAGTTATAATAGATGTGTAGCAAATGCAAAGTTGTGCCAAATGCATTGGAATAATAAACAGAGCAAGCAAGCTTCTCCCCATGGCCTGGTTAGCAAAAAAGGCAATAATTCACATACATATATGCTTTTTTCCCCTCCCTTAGATCCTAGTTGCTGTGAGTTTTGGGGTATCGGTCTGTCTATGTTCATACCTCTCTTCAGGCGTAGTAAGTTCCCCAAAATAGGTGTTATCTCCCATGACAATCTAGCAAAGACTCTAATCTGAATCTAGACTCAATAGTTGTCTCCCTGGGTCTGAATAACCAGGTTGCATTCAGCTTTTTTAGATGGGAATACAGCAAAAAAACTTGCATCTGAGACTCTATCAAATGTGTTTACATAGCATGGAAGGGTATTAATTTCCTTTTTTAAAATTTTAATGTAACTCTAACCAGATTGGTTCAGGCCCTGCTTTTTCCACACACTTGATGTATTCAAGTTCAGCTCAATACCTCTGTCCCTTAGCAAAGGAAAAAAGTGTTTCTCTGCTAGCAGGATAAAAATGGAGTTTAAGATTCCATTCTCTTCTGATGCCCTTTCTGTGATTTTTGGGGACGTTATGAATTGTAATGTTAGGTATGTGTTTTGGGGCAATAGAAGAGAAAACAAGCCTTGATTTAAAATCAGATATGTATTACAATAGGGGAATGGTGTAGTTTTGCATACATATCTCGCTATTTGGTGTAGCATGGGAATCTGGAGCTTCTTGCAAAATTTAGATATTTGCATTTTAGTGGCAGTTATATGAATTGTCATAGAACATTTAAATTCCTTAAGTGTCTTGGAAGATCTTACCCAGAATCTACATAACATTATTTAAGCAGCACAGTGATGATTATTAAGGGATTGGAGATAACTAAAATGCAAGGCTGGTATACAGTTATGCTGGTTTTGTTTTAGAGGACTCCTTTGGCTAGTAGGCAATGACTGAATGTTGTGCCCTAAGACTTGCTATGTGAAATGGAAAATAAAAGTCCAGCTTTACTTGTGTACTTTGCAAAACTAGAAAGAATGAGAAGAGTGTCATAGAGTCCCAAACAGATTACAAGTTTAGTTTCTCAAATTTCATTCTCAGCATTAAATGGTCGTTTCGGCATCCTTGAGCTCAAAACTCGTGCTATAGGGTGAATCTGTTTTGATTTTGGGGTTTTTTGGGGGGTTGGGTTTTTTGGTTGTTTGTTCGTTGGTTGTTTGCTTTGTTTTGGGGTTTTTTTTAAGGAGATACCTGCATTTAATAGTGGTTTCGATGGTGCTGTTAGTATATAAATGATTCTGAACAATGTAGGCTAAAATGTCACCTTTAATACTTGACTTTAAACCATGTAAGATTGAATAGCTGTGTTTAAAACTGGTGTGAGTCAAATAAAAATTTTCACCAAAGATGTAAGCGCTGTCTTCCCAAAACCCTCAGCATCTTGGTTAACTCTGTTTTTAAAAAAATATGTAAAGACTTCCCGAGAAAAATACTGATAATAAATAATTCTAGAGCTAGAGAACAGAGCAGATTTGATTCGGATACAAACTGTGATTGTGTGTGGCTTGGAATACTGCAAGGGGTGGGGCAGGGTGTGCACAATCAATTTGATTCCCAGTAACTTAATTCAGAGAAAACCAGGCCTTGGGATCACTGCTAATCGTAATTTGGGGTATATTGTCAGTTGACAATCCACAAGTTCTATTCACCACATTAGTTTCTTATGAGATGGTGAGACTGTTGTGGTTTATCCCCAGCCAGCAACTAAGCCCCGTGCAGCCGCTTCACTCCTCCCTGGTGGGATGGGGGAGAGAATCGGAAGGGTAAAAGTGAGAAAACTCGTGGGTTGAGATCAAGACAGTTTAATAGGGAAAGCAAAAGCCGCGCACGCAAGCAAAGCAAAACAAGGAATTCATTCACTGCTTCCCATCGGCAGGCAGGTGTTCAGCCATCTCCAGGGAAGCAGGGCTCCATCACGTGTCACGGTGACCTGGGAAGGCAAACGCCATCGCTCCGAATGTCCCTCCCCTTCCTTCTTCTTCCCCCAGCTTTCTACACTGAGCATGACGTCATGT